CTCAATGTCTGACCGATTGGTGTCCGCAAAGACATCGGCGACGATCACCGCCAGAGACGACAGGTTTTATTGATTGGATTCTAAACAGTCTCTCATTCAACACAAACGCATACATTCGGGAGAAAAACCATTTGTTTGTCATTTCAATGATTGCGGCAAAACTTTTTCAAATATCTCATCTCAAGCGACATAACTTATGTCACATAAGAGAAGGCATAAATGCATTCATTATAATTGTGGGTAACTTTGTAATCATGCAAGAATTAAACTTACAATTAGCATAAATTAATTAAATAAAATAAACCATGCCATTTTAAACAATATTTTTATTTCAGAAATTAACTCTTATTTTTGATTATTATTGCAATTATATTTAATTTAATAACTAAATTAATTAAATGTCTTTAAACTAATTATAATTAATGTAATGTTATAAATAAATTAATTTTTATAACCAAAAATTCAGTACAATATATCTTAATATTAAAACAATTTAATTGCAATTTTATAATTAATGCAAAATATTATTAAATAATTAAATTAAATATAATTACCAAATTAAGCGATATATTAATTGGGGAAAAAATTAATACAAAAAACACAGAAGTAATTAAGCAAAAAATACAAATCACATACAATTGCCAATACATAACATCTAGCAAAAAATGCCCCACAAAACAAGGTGTTAATGATTAACAGTTAATCACTCAATACCGGTGATTTTTACCATTTGCGGCGGCGGTACCGGTGGGCCGACGATGCGGTGCCGTTAGCGCGATGCTCTTTACTCATGTGCCAATATACGAGTCCCTGGTTTGTGAACGATTTGCCACACCCTATGTGTGGGCACGAGTAGCTGCGCTTTGGCGGGACTGACAGTGTGGTAGTGTTGATGGGCGCCGACGAAGGGGGCGCCGGTTGGCCGGCTCTCTGCGGCTGATGACACCTCATGTGGCGGCCAAGTGCTCGTCCACTTTTGAACCCTTCGCCACAAACTCGACACTTGTAGTCGACCGACCGCGACGGCGGCGCCTGTATGTCCACATTACGTGCGGACCGTTTGGGCCCAACGCTACCAATGAGTTCAACATCAGAGTCAGAATCACTTGAGTGTTGAATAAAAAAGTGGTTAAAAATCAATTCAAATGTCTTAAAATACAGACAAAACACATACTTATCGCTAATAGTGTCCACCAATTGGCTGTCGGCGCTAGAAGTGGTTGTTGTGATGAATGTCGGATTAGTTGTACTGATTGTTGGCATCTGTTGTCTGCCATCGGGTGCTCTACTCCAGGACTGGTCTCCGGCATCGGATGATGTGATGAGACTTAATAAATGGGGTAATAATTAATGAATGTCTTAAAACACAGAAACAACACATACTTATTGTACTTAATGTCCAGCCATTGACTGTCGGCACTGGAAGTAGTGTTTGTGGTGATTAATAATGGCATTGAAGGGCCGGGAGTATTGAATGGTGTCATGTGATGTCTGTCATCGGGTGTCGCACTCAATGACTGGTGTCTGACATGAGATGATCTGCCGATCGGTTCCCCGGACTGTGTGCTGTCTTCGATGGCATGTCTTCTAATATGCAAATCCAATCGCTTTTGAGTGCAAAAATCTTTGCCACAGTTTTTGTAATAGCATTTCAATGCTATCGTTGGCCGCAATTGAACGACAAATCTGTCGACAATTAACTCATGAGAGAGTGAAGGACTGGTACACAAAAAAACAATTTTTTTGAGATAATTTATGGCATATTTTGAGACAATCAATGCATGTCTTCAGAGAAATGATTAAAATATTGAGAGAGAGAGAGAGAGAGAGAGAGAGAGAGACCTGTTGTTCGCCGGCGAAGACATTGTTAAACACGTTTTTGCAAAACATAAAAAACACTTAAAATATTTGATGGGATTATTCACAAAGAAAGCACTGTTAAGGCTGGAGAGGATTAAAAGTTTAAAACATATTAATAGTCTATTATTAATTATTAATCTAATGATTAGTCTATAATCCAGTAATACTGTAGACATTAAAAGTAGTAATCACTTGAATCAAAACATTTTCACATTAAGTAACAAAAATATGAATTTCAATTGTGACTAAAGACATGAAATCAGTGCAAAGCAGTGCTTTAGTCACAAAAAAACTTAATTTCCTATACAAGTAATGTTTGATTCATTGCATTTGATTTGATTGCAAAACACTTTGCGATTAAACGTGTATTCACCCGTTCACTACACTCTACTCCCGATATGTGAGGCCCGAGTGGTAAGGCGAGTGAGTGAGGGGTTTAGGTATAAATACACTTATAAATTAAATAAAACACTTTTTAAAGTTAAATATAAAACTTAAACTTATTGAAAATAATTGTGGAGTTGTGTTGTGTGGATGTGATGTGAATGTGTAGTGAATGGTATGAGTGCAGGAGAGAGAGAGAGAGAGAGAGAGAGAGAGAGAGAGA